CACACTACTGCATGCGCGGGTGAAAAGACAAGCGGGTGTGAGTCTTTAAATATATATATAATTCTTACCAAGAGCGACCAATTGTACCTGATGCGAAACTCTGGCCGTGCATGGCCGTGCGTCCTGCAGTAATAGGACGTTCTTCCTAGGTATAGGACGTTTTTGGGCCGCCCCCGCCGTGAAACCGACGATGTCATTTTTTGGGTCGAGGATGGTCGAGGTATGGAACTGTCACATCCCGGACGAGAAAACCACAGCGACAGGGAACTGCGAACGTCAGGGCCTTGTTCCGAAATCCTCCATGTGCAGCAAATCACTCCTTCACTCTGTGGCCAATCGGAGAAGAAACTCCACCCTGGGGTGGATTTTGCACTCATCCAAAGATGTGAACACCAGTTATACCTCAGACGAAAAAGGCAATCGTTTTTCCCTTGGCCATGCTTGGCCGATCATGTTGAAACAGCCAAGGGTCGCCCCCCAAAGAAGGTCGATCATGTTCGAGGTCGGTTTAGGCAGACTGACCGGCGAAAGGCACAGATCGCTGAGAGCGCTGAGATCAGCTTATGCAGTTCGAGAAATATCTGAAGTGCTGAGCCACATCAGGAACGCTTGCTACTTTCGAGGAAAGGCTTCTCCATCTGAACAAAGAGTGGTCCGAAATGGTTTGACAAATAATTGTAATAGTGAAGTGGTGCTTTTTCAGGGCAGACCTTTTTTTCAGGTGTTCAACCACTTTGAAGCACTCCATTCCCATCCATTCCCTGTTTTCCATATCCTTTTACAGACAAGCTTTTATTGACAAGCCATATGTTTACCCAGGGTTGTTTTCTACAGCCACTTATCTGCTTTTGGCCATTCATTTGTGAAGAGTGAGACGACTCGTGCAACTAACACTACTCCAACTACTCCTACAGATGATTGAGTCCATCCGTTCTGCCGACCAAGAACTTGAGTAGAAAACCTGAAAGTTCCTGGCCCAAGAAACAGAGCTTTGCTTGAGGAGACATTTTCGGAGAAAAATGACCAAATTATACAGGTTCCATTCCAGCAGGATCAAACGACCTTTCCCACTCGGATGCTGAGGTTATGTCAGGTTTCTGCATATGCTTTTGTTAAGCTAAGTGGCTAAGAGAGCAACAGCTACTTTCACGTTTTCGGCCCCTTCATCAGCTTTCCACGGTGCCTTCATTCCGTGTCCGTTCCTTTCCTTTCCGCGGGCCACGGAGGAACCGTGACGACGGATGTGGAACCATGGTTGAACATGTGGACCACTGACCTGTAGGGGGGGAGCAGGGTACATTGAATTTTTGTTGACCCCTTTTCAACCAGCTTAAGCTTCGCTCAATTTGATCCCAACTCTTTGCTTTCCAGAATCTGTCGAGCTGGATCAAGTAACGAAGAGGTGGCCTGCATCTAGGTCGGTGTCCATGGCCACCCTGTGGGCTTCAGTCGGAATTGTGACCCCATGAAGCGGTTCGAAGCTTCACAAGCACAGTGCAACAACCACGTCTCTGTCGTCAGATCATGACTGTAGCAGGATCCCTTGTTAGATCCTCATCTCGTGGAAGTCAGCTCTGCAACAACTGCTTTAGTCCGGGAAGCTTCTACACAGAAAAACCTTCTTGATCCACCCCGGACTGAATCAAGCCAAGGCGGCCAAAGTACAAAGGCTGCCAAAGTACAAAGAGTTGGCAAACGTTACCACGGTACCACCCTTTGCACCGGAGACCTCATCCACTCCAAACCAGCAAGACGGAAAAGGCACACCCGCAAGATCACCTTCAGCGATCTCACAGAGACGATAGCACAAATTCCTAAGGTCCTTATTTATCAGTAGTCAGATCCACTCATCAGTCAGACTTGTTTGTTGGCCAATTATACTCTAGAAGTCACTCTCATTGATTGTCAACAACAACAACAACTTCTGCGGTTTGTTCTTCGCCCTCGTTGGCTGCATGGCTGCCGACAAGGCTTTCGGAGTTCGTACGAAACGTACGAGCGATCGTAAGAAGAGCGGGCGGAGTGAGTGACGCCTGAGCGACACAGAAATCCAACCAGATCACTGTGTCTCTATGAGATTGGAATTCATTTGAATTCTATCCTACGTAATGAGAAAGAATTAGCCCTTGCAGCTACTTGATTGTACTATCTTGTACTATTACTATGCAAGAACAGCCCGCAACTGGCACCTTTCCACCCCCGATCCTGGGCCGGAGGCTTCGCCGGATGTGCTGGCGGAGGAGTTCCATGGGCTACTGCCCGAGGAGGCAGAGTTCGAGGCCGCGCCGAACCCTTCGAGTTCGTTCGTGTTTGGGCGCATCTGGGTGGGAGGACGCTACGCGACATGCCCTTCGTGGTTGGTGCGGGAGCTGGCCCGAATTATGTGTAGTACGTTGGAAGGGCATACAAAGACCTGGCTGGTTTTCCAGTTTTGCAGGTTTTCCGGGTGCATGGTTGGTTTTTTGGGGTTCAAGAACGGCATCAGAGCTGCTTAGATGCATCACTGGGCTAGCGAGCCAGTGAACCATCATCAGGCCTTCAGGCCTTCTGAGTGGGCATACATCGCCGTGGGGAGCTGGACTATCACCTGTTGGTCGCTTGGAACCCAGAATGAACCCCGCCATAGACCCGACACCGGCCCCGACCTCGGCCCGTTTCCGCGCCGAGCGGCGCTACATCGCGGGGACGGCGGGTTTCGCGGTGCCAGGTGCGCCAGAACGCGGAGGAGGGCCGCTACATGGCGCCTCGGAGCGGACGGAAGGTCACCGAGACACTGTGCTGTGTCGTTTCCAAGCCAGACACTCCATGGGACTGCCGTGGTTTTAGGGGTGAATGTAGGTAAATTACGTGGAGTGTTTGGGCAAGTTGGGTATCACCACATCAATCCAAGTCGCCGGCCTCACCGATCTTCGGTCTCACTGGCCGCCGACGATCCCAACATCGTGCGATCTGGGGGGCATGGTGTTTTTCGTGTCTGGCGGCTTACCGGCACCGACGACCAACAGGTCACCAATTGAAACCTGTTAGTAAGGGCCCTTCCCAACCCTCCATTTCGGAGACCTGTTGCAAGGTACATCTTATTACAGTTCCCAGATCCCCCAGTCGTATTACCTAGACCTCACGGGCACGGCTCGGGAGACCCCCCTCTCGCGCCCGAGCAGTTCAGAGGGTTCACGTTCCGGGAGACTCGGGTCGTGTCGGTGTTTTTCGCAGGTTTGCTCCCAGGAGCTCGAGGAGAACGCGTGGTTCTTGTTGGAGTCTCCCATCGTTTGTTGGCCGCTCACGGAGCAAGAAGGCGGCACCCACCCGTCAACGGAAGGGGCGGGGGCGGAGTCAGGAAACACGGGCCACTCGGTGACGGATGTTGCATTGTGAATCATTGTGATCCGAAGACATGTTTAAGACAACAAGAAAAAAAGAACATGTGATAATTATTATATATGTGTGTGATTGTGTATTTATAAAAATATGTTTAATACATGTTTAATGTAACATGTTTTGACATTAATATCATAATCAATATAAGCATGTGTTTAAGATATAATCGGAGGAGTCACTTCATACTGAGATGGCTCCGGGATGTAGGTCTCAGGATGTGTCTCTGGTAGGGCACAGCACGGTCTGTTTGGACTCAAGGCATTCCACCAAAGCGCTTGGCCCGACCTTCCTGATTGATGCTGTCGCGTCCAGGGGAGAAGCTTTCTGACCTTCCCTGCAGCTGGTGTGAGGCCTGTGCAGTTGGTGGTAGTGGTCCATTTGAGAAACGGGTCTTGTAAAGCTCTTAAGGATATTGTAAGCAATTCAGACAATGCTTGTAAGTCTAGATGTCCTGTGGAAGATGATCTCTTAGAAGATTCAGCAGTCGATGTTTCGCTTGGCAGTCTTTGGTTTATTGCTTATATCTTAGACTTTTGACGACCACATTGGTCCGGTTCCAACCGGCTTCTGTTTGCTCCCAACCAAAAGCAACTGGCTCCTTAGGATTCAGTCTGATTTCTTGAACAAGCGCCACTGAATAAAGCTTGCATTGGTTCATGGTTTGCAACTTTGCGAGATAGACAACGGATGACAATAGGACGCCAAAAAAACAAAAAGGTTGATAATGACTGCTGCATACTGATGCATCTCTGAATCTCTATGGTGACACCACTGCGCATCTTCCACCGCATCTCCCCCTGCCCAGGCCTGCTTGCGCGCCTTGGCCACCGAGGAAGCTGAGCCAAGCGCCCCATCCAAGCCGAGGTCGGGGAAGCTTTGGGGATTGATAGATATATAGAGAATTATAGAGATTCATTTGCCAATCGTGGTGAAGAACAGAACAGGCCACTGAATGAAGAGATCCTGGATTGTTGAGATGCAAGGATGCAAGCAGTGGCGAGAAAGAGAACAAGAAGAACTACAGAGATTGGACTCCACAGTTTTTGGTGGACACACACACACACACCTGATTTCCCATTGCTGCTTCATGGTTTTCCAGCTCTTTAGAAGCAGTTCTTTTTCTGTGCAACCTGACCTTAAAAGGCCCATTGTTATGAAGGCTCACTAACCTGGGAATCGGATTCTGTGACGATGTGAGATGGGTGCCATTCAGCTGGACAATGCTGGTAACATGTCAAGATCTTGGGAGGTGCGGTGACTGGGAGTAGTCTTTCGGGCGCTTGGTTGGGGGAGGATGGGTCACACTTTCATTTGTCTTGCACCCGGTCAAAACTACAGTATATATATATATATATAGATTGCACAACTGTTGAGTTTGTTTGATGTGCCTATCATGTTGCCCCCCCAATCTTTTGAAACTAGAGGGGCCAAGGTCGCTTTTTCATCACTGGAAAGGTTCTACTTGACCATCCATCTGGGCCAATGTCCTCAGATCCAAAAGGTTCCGGTGCAGTTCCCCATGTGGAGCTGCCTTCGGATGGAGCGGCCGGATCCGCCAGGTGGATGGTGATGCCGCCGAGGCCGGTGATGCGCGGTGTCTGGGTTTTGGGAGGCAACAGGAGTCTGTATTTGGCCTAACACAGTAGGCAGTGTATAGGATCTGTATTTGGCAACCACTGTACCTCAAAGGGTATAGGATTCTGATTCTTCATCGAATCCACCTCAGGTGGGCAACTGCAAGGCTTGTTTGATGTTGTTGCGAAGTGTGATCCTCGGGCCCCGCCGAGTAGTACTGTGCTGTCGCGTTTCGCGCGCGAGAAACCGCCGCGTGACACGTGCGACCTCGAAACCGCGACGTGCGACCGAGACACGTGCGGCTTCCAGGCTTTGCGAGAGCTGTGTGGGCTTGAAGGACATGCTTGCCAAGGACGCTGGGCACGGCACCGGTCCGTGGATCCTTTTGGGACGCCCTGATTGGAGAAGACATCAGAAGATGTAACTTGTTTGAACAATTTGGGGTGCCACAAAATCTGCAACCAGAAGAATGCTTGCTGTGCTATTCTTGCGACCTTTACATTGTAACATACGATGTGCACAGGAAAAGTGCACCGTATATCACCATATGCTGTCAAATGACTTTACCAATGGCCTATGAGATGTTGGACTTGATGAGCGACGTGTCCAAGTGTCGTTCCTGCGACCAAGGGATTCAAGGACAGATCATTTGGGTTGCCATGTTGGCTGAAAAGATGCTGACAGACAACAACCGAACACATCATAGCCGTACATCACCGGTAGAGTCATTTCACTGCCCGCTGCCAAATGTGATTCCCTCATCCCGCTCCATCAATGAACATGTTTGCATCTCCTAGCCCACCATACCTCAACGAACTGCGGTCTCCCCCGCCTCGCACTCGCAGCAAAACCCTCAACAGACTACCGCGTCGTATGACGCGACGGCAGCGGAGTTTGAGCGACGGCAGCGGAGGAGGAGTTGCTCCGGTGGCGCCAGTGGCAGCAGCTTCGTTCGCCCAAGAGTTGCATCGGATTGGAGGCCTTTGGCCGCTGCTTGGCGCAGGCAGGAGGATTGTGGAAGGGTGCAAAAAGGGAATCACGCAATCCTAATTTAGTTCTTGATGACTTTTATGGTACAAGGTTTGAGTTAAAGTAATTACCAATCATATGGGAGGTAGCTGGGGAGTTGAGATCTATGATCTGATTTGGCAGTTCAACGTGCAGTCACACAATGGAACCAGAATCCCAGTGTCCTGAGTCCTAAGATTATTTTTCTGCACATGTGAGCTGGATTCATATGGTGTCCTTTCATGCTCGTGCATTAAATTCTGATCTCAATATGTCAACAAAGAGGTAATTAGTACTCTGTGTCGATAGCGTGTCCACGGAATCTCATGCAAGCAGAATTTGAAGATTCTCTTTGCGCATGCTGCTTCTGTGTTTGACAGGTAGCGCTATTGGCTGGTAAAGCCAAAGAGGCTGCAGCTCTCGACGGTGAAACTGTCTTGTGACGGGAGTTTTAAGAGCAAGGCGGCCTCTTGTTGTTGGGGATTGAAATACCCTATAGGGCTCCAAGTACCTCCTCAGATTGGTATTTGGACCCTCCAAACCCACCCCAGTCCCACCGAACCTCGGTACGACCGGAGCCCGACTGGGATAGAATCAAGAGTCTACATTCGACCCCATGTGCAGGCTCCCGTGTGTCACATGTTAAGGATTTGACGCTGATGTCTTTCATCTTTCTGCCACCATGTTTCATCCAACCGACAGGTGAAGGGATTCCGCAGGTTTTTGGGACATCCATGCGTGAGGTGACCTACCTTTTTAGACATTTGCCAGTGGAACGAGTTGGAATGCCCAATACTTGAAGCCTGTAGGATCGGAGTCAGAGCCCAAGACTGCCCAAGACTTGGACAAAGGTTGCTTCTTTAATGTCGATGCATTCATGGGGAACTGCTGGAGTGTGGTTCTCAGTTCGCAAATCAGTCGGGAACAGTGGATTAGGTATGAGCTGAGCAAGTAGAAAATTGTTGGGCAGTGTGATTGATTTGGTCTTGTGCTTGTTGAAGATCCTGAAGCAGCAAAGGATGGTGGGGATCTGCCGGAAATGTATGAAAGCTGCACATCCTGCACCTTCTTGCTGCCCCATCAAGCCTATGCCCAAAAGTTTCATGATTCATGATTCAGCATTGTTTCACTTGATTCCCTTCCCTTCATCGAAACACTTCTGACCTTGGACCCGGTTTTTCACGTCACCCGATAAGATCACGATGATCCCGGGCCGAACGCATCGCCAAAGTGCATTCACCTCGCGTTTGCGCTGGCAGAGCCGGCAGAGCCACAGAGGCGGGCCTCAACGATGATGAGGCGCTCCACTATGCCTTGAGGCCTTTTGAAAGGCCCTCAAGATCCGAGTCTGGTGGTCCTTGCCGGAATACCATATACACGACTTCAGGATCTTCATTCGACACCCAGACAGGATGGTCAGGTAGTGAGCCTTATCTCGTTTGGAAGGACGAAGCCAAACCAACGATGCGAAATGGTGTTGTTCTTGAGGGTAGGGTAGGGTAGGGTAGGGGTAGTAATTTTTCTTGGGAGACTCCAGAAAGTTTCAAAACATTCTGGAATCCAAAACAAGAGCACAATTTTGACGATGTTGCACTGCCGAAGAAGATCCCTTTACATGTGTACTCAACGGAGGTTTAAAGAAGACTGATATCATGATACAAAGCCATTGAGCTATCGTCAACGATACAGGTGGTATATATCAGGTCGGTGTTGTTTTCAAGCTTCACTTCGACGGATCGCCGCAAACTTCGCTTCCTCGGCCAAGCGCAGGAAATGTGGCCAAAGACCAACCTTCCCTTCACCGCGACGCAAATTTCTGTGGGAGACAAACCTGGATCTTCCAGCTATACGCGTTTGCTTGTTCATCCTAAAGATCAGCCAGAAGGCAGACATTTTGCATAGCAAAGTTGGAAGTTCCAGGTATATGAAACATTGTGAAACAACGCAAAAAAGCAGGAAAAAAGCAGAACCCCCCACCAAACCCCCAGACGCGACTTGTTTGGGACTGCCGTATTTGCTAATAATTGTGCTGGTTTTGAGGGGTCAATCATGTAGTTGATTTTGTACTCCAGTCCCAATGATGCCATCCCAACGTATAGAGTCATATACTTCAGTCCATGTAGTATTTGTTTAGGCCTGACTGATTCGACGTGACGAGTCTCACTCCGGAATCTCCATAGATTAGACTCGTCTCATGGCCTATAGCTATATAAGGGACCTCTTCCAGTCCTACCTCAGTGTGCATCTCAGTGTGACCTTGGTGTGCACCGTTGGGCGCCGGCGCCAGGCTTCAAGGACCTCCCGGAGATGCCACGGTTGAGTCCCTCCGATGTTGGTGGCGGCGGAGCGAGGGTTGGGAGCGGCGGCATGGAGGGTTCGGCTGAAAAACGTTTGGATTCGTCAGATGCGATAGATTTATGTTAGGATTCTCATTCTCAAGATGAATAGCATTGAATAACTATATATATATATTGATGATAATTGTGTTTTTGGAAGCCAGGTTCAACTTGACGCCCTTTGGTGCATAGTTCGGCAGAACTGGGGGCTCGTGTTGTTTTTAAGATGCGTTTTTGAATGTTTTTGGATGTGGTTTTTGTAGCTGCAGACACTGGACGTTTAGCGCTGAACCCTGTACCTGGTACAGTGGACTCTTGGCCTCCACAGTGGACTCTTCCACTGCGCTTGGACCAGCGCTGGAAGAGCTCCATTGGCCTCAAATGAATGGAACAAGATAGATAGATAGATAGATTTATAGATAGATAGATTTATAGATAGATAGATAGATAGAGAAAGAAAGACAGAAAGATAGATAGATAGATAGAAAGTATGATCGATGAATTAGGATCATTGATTGCATGCTGTTCTGGTCAGTTCTTGATAAATTGATGAACTCCGCTGATTGTGCTGTCAGAACCAGGCATGCAGTCCGTGAGCAGTCAAAGTTGTATACCCAAAGTCACATAAAGAAGTTATTCCGAGTTCAGGGATTCATTAGGCAACCTCTTGCAGTCTACTATTTGATCGAACCGGGAATCGCTGGTATAAGACTGTTTGTTCCTTCCTCTTGATAGTTGTCTTCCTTCCTTCCCTCCCTCTGCATGTATAACTCTTCGGCAGTTGCCAGGATCCCAGGATCCTGTATACGCGAGTATAGGCTGACTGTTTGTTCGCCTTGTTCGCCGATATGTTCTCCGTTCGAGCAAATGGGAATGTCCGTGAGTTCGTAAGTTCCACCCAATGAGACATTTTGCCCTTCGAACTTGCTCCTTCTATGTCCATGATGTTTGTCGCGGAAGAATAAGAAAGAGTCCTGAAACATCCTGAAACTGATTTGATGTCATTTACACTTCCAAGACCTCCTTCTACCATGGCTGTCCTGTGTAGCCCTTTCTATGCTTAAGACCAACCCATCAAAAGCATTCAGGTCACCTCTTGGACAGAAGGGGCTTCGTCGAGATGTCGAGACGCCTGAGGCTGCATGGCACGACGCACGGGAGCTCAGTGGACCGTTCTTCGATCCAGTTCACCCGGTGTGCAAGGCAAAATCCGGACACGACGACATGTGTGTTCTTCCCATTGCAACTGACCCCAAATGCGATGTAATCAATAACTCTGGCCGCCAAATGCGCCGGGCCCGGCGTCTTGGACCCTGTGAGCGCCACGGCCAGCCGTGGCCTTTGCTTTTGTAGTATATATGGTTCAGTATCTTCCTTAGTAGCCAAAATATGCCAAAATGCTTTGCCTAAGCCAACACAAGCGGCTTTTGAGCATTTTGGCTCTTAACAGAACAAGGCTACTAGTGTGCCCAACAGTGTCTTAACCAAGAGCTTGTCGGAAACAAACCCGGTGGCTGGTTGAGTCGGTTGAGTATGTAAAGAACAAACAAAAAGAACTTCAAGAACCCAGCCAGGGGCTTGTAATGATTCATGTAAAGAACCTAGCTAGGCGCTTAGACAACGGCGCTGTGTGACCACGTGATTCATCTACGAACAAACACATGGACCGGCCCTCCAGTCCCTGGACGATCCCCAGGGTGTTTCATGTGGTTTCATGTGGTTTCAGAGTAATTCATGATAGATGACCCTGACACATGAGGGCCCCCCCCCCAGATGCTTTTAGACCGATGGTTTCATGGTATGCATGGTCTATCTAAACCACCCCACCGCGGCCCGCCGAGGCCCAAAGAGGTGGCGGAGGCCCTGCGATCCTCCGAGCCCTTCGCAGACAGGCGACCTTGAACCAAGCGAATGTGCCCCAAGATGTGGCTTTGTTATAAGGTTTTTTTGGGGGGAGGGGGGGAAAGAGATCTCTTGATTTTGGGTCCACACTTGGCAATCTTCTTTTTTTTTTTAAACTTTTGTGTGTGTGTGTTGCTTTAGAGTCCAAGAACTTGGCAATTTGAGATGATTTCATGCAATTAGTGTGTGTGTGTGTTGTTTTAAAGAGTCCAAGATCGACTTTTTGCCTGTGGAACTGGAGGCTTCGCGCGAGGCTGCCGCAGGCGGATGCCTTACTTTCAGAGGAGACAGCCGCAGGCGGCTACTGTATTGGCCTGGACAGCGTACAGCAAACTTATTACAGTGTCATACTAACTCTATTTCAAGACTCAAAGGTAACTATAAAGGAGTAACACAATTGAACATGCTGGAACAGCTGCTGTTCACATGGGTCCAAGAAACAACTACTTGAATCCTTTTGAATCCTTTTGAATCGTTTAGCTTTACCTTGCTACCTACCTCACGGACGTGACGGATCCTTGTGGCTCAATGGACACAGTCTCATGCCACCGGCCAGCGCTTCGCTCGCTTCCCTCAAGATCCAGGTCCCCGGAGGTCGCCAAAGTGCCCTCTCCCCGGAGGTCGCCAGCGTGACGAAAGCATGACATGGTGACAGGTCAGGATCTGATCCCACAAAAGACCGTCAAGAAAGAAAAACACCTCCAGTTTCATGGCTCAACTAATTACCAATATATGCATCACGGATTGCCACATGAAAGGTGGGTTTAGGGTTTATCCCTTTCTGTATGGTTCGCTTCGAAAACAAATCGGGGCGTTGAACCGGTTGCGACTGACAGACATTTTGACTGAACAGTTCCAAAGACCTATGGGTGTCAAACCAGTACCAGCACAATCTTTCCTTTGCTTCCTCGCTTGCTGCCCGTTTTTTTTGTTTTCCAAACGCCGCTCCACGATGCAATGCCGGGCGGTGCCACTGTTGAGGTGGGAAGAATAGTCATCCATGGGGGGTGGCCATGCGATCCAAAGAAAAGAATTGAGGCAAGAATTGAATAATTTTTGTTATAGGTTTGATACCTTACCTAGTTAATATTAGTTGATTAGTTGTTAGTTGTTAGTATAGGATGATGAGATAGTTCGTGGTTACCGGCTGGGCGGCATGACCTATCAGGTCACAACATGTCAAAACCAAGTCGTCCTAAAGGGATGTTGAAATCGTCATCGCCCTTGAAGATCTTGAAGTATACTACAGTCGACAGTTAGTCAATAAGGGGTCTGACGTTTGTTCACCCCTTCTTAATTCAGAAGCAAACAATAATAAATGCTGCAACACACTTAAAACATCTTAAAACTCAAAGCTAAAAACATAAACAAAAACAAATCAACCATCAACACAGACCACTCAAAGCTGCGTTTCTTGGAATTCTCTCATACATGAACCCCCGGTCTCTTGCTCTTGCTCTTCGTCTCGGACCCCGAACCGTCCCCGTCCTTCTAGGCCTTACCACCGGTGGCCACCTCGGCGGATCAGACCTTTTGGTCGCGACCTGAGGGCGGTGGGACAGCGCTGGACATGGGACATCGACATCAGATGAGAAGGAGAAAGGATGTTGGGTTTTCCCCCCCACCTTCAAATTGGACCCCAGGTGAGACTGTTGACGGGTATATGGCGGGGGGAAACAAGGAATTAGCTGGAACAAGTATTTGTTCAGCAAAACATGGAGCAATATAGATCTGGACATGTTCAGAATTGCCAAGTGACAAAGAAGAAGAAGAAGAAACATCGAGCAAGCAGCTTTATTCGAACGCGAGGTGCGTTCAAAACACACCAAGAGACAAAGGACTGAGCAGTGTCTAGGCTAAAACGTCTGGCAATGCAGTCAACTGTGCACACCGGCGGGGGGTATGGTCTTTCACACGGACCATTATACATTAATTATGTTTTTGGGAGGGAAGGTTGCATAGTCTTCTATATTGTATAAATGTGTGTCTTCTTGGAAATCCACATAAATCACAAATCCACCATTGAAACCAGCTATTTCTCATTGTTTGACCTACTTGGGAACATGCAGTCGGCTGTTTTACTTCAGGGCGCGCGCCCCGAGTCGAAAGGTCGCCAGTCATCACCAGGTCGGCCGCCAATGATTCCTCCTTCCATGGACGCATGGGGATCAAGAGCTTGGTGAACGTGAACAACACGGCGGAGCTCCTTGGCACGGATCCGGGATGGAGAGGCGGGTCCGGAGGAGAGGGCGGAGAGGGCGGAGAGGGCGGAGGCGGAGGGGCGATGTTTGAAATCCGTTGGTTTTGACGTTCAGATGTTCGTTTTGTTGCCACGTTGGTTCTGTGGCTGTCACTATAGTGACTGTCACTAGGTGTTTGTTTTGTTCTTTGTTCCTAGGTATAGTGGCTAGCCTTGCTATTTGCATCTATTTGCTATTGGTTCGTTGAACTCTTTGCTGTTGAAGAGACCGGCCAAGTTCACTGTGGTTTTGGCTGTCCCTACAGGTCAACAGGCTGCATTTGAGAGTTGATCATACGAGAACACTACCCAAATGAGGTGTTCAGGACCAGGTTGGGGTGCAGTAAGAGGTTGGACCTTCCAGCCCTTTCCCGCTGTCAACCAGACAGATGGTCCAGTCGTGGATCTTCGGCCGTGTGGTGGGACCATGTGGGACCCCGGCGTTGGCCGGGGGTGGATCGGTGAAGGAGGCGCGGACCAGGCGTGGAGAGCTCTCAAGTCTTGCTGGGACTTCAGTCTGTACACTCCTGGAAATCCTCATGGCTCATGGTGGAAGTGGAAAATGGCGCCGAGTCCGGATGAGAATGAAATCCGAAGACCTTCTGTAGGTGAACTCCATGTTCATGATGACTTCAGGGAGTGTAAGCTAGGGCCTGGGTGGGCCTCTTTGTTCTATCTTGTCCGTTGGGGAAGCTTGAGGACGTGGGTGCGATTTCTATCACCCTCGGGCTGTTTGCTGTTTGCAGTGATGCCCACCCAGACCATTATGTCATAAACAGGATCAATAGACAACACTTGATTTGGGCACTATAGGCCTTTGGTTGGCACAAATTGAACCCCTTTTTTACCATGTGTAACTCTTTGATTCTTCAGGCTCAAGGTTCAATGGACTCATGAAGCAACGCCACTGCCCTCGTCGCCTAAATGCTGCGTTGCTTCTGCGTTTGCCCTCGCCTTCTGAGGCTTTTGCATTTGGCCTACCTCCAATCCAGGACGATCGGTCGGCGCATGGCGCATGTTCGAACAGGAAGAGGCGGAAGAGGCCTGTTCACAGGCGCGTTAAGCTAGCTAGCTATATATATATATATATTTATATGAATCTGTCGAATCTGTCCACTGAGTACCTGCTATATATATAGCTTCTGAAAGGATCCTCTTTGATCCTCTTTGTATTCTACTGAGCCATTTGGCTTCGAGCCTCCCGCCCGTCACCGTGAGAGCTGCAGCGCGAAGTTTGCCCACATGCGGCTGCTGGTGCTGGCGCTGCTGGCATGGCCTTGCCTGGGCAGAGGAGGAAAAGGAGGCAAAGGAGGCAAGAGAGAGGCGCACACCTGGTGATGATGTCTTGGCTGTTTCCAGTAAAATCTTCTACCCTTCAACCCCTCTTTTGGTCGTGACATCTTGGGTAGGAAAGGCTGAAGAAAGACATAATTGCTTTACTTGTTACTTATTGAAGAAAGAAGCTGGCTGTTCACTTCGCTGCCGTTCTTGAATACCCGCTCAAACAGTGGACTGAGTGTTTGACCTCCCATCAGGGTCAGGATTCTCGCCGATGGTTTGTTTCTCAGCCAAAACAGCGTTGGGACTTATTGACTGTTAATTTCTACATGGGAGTAGAGTGCTCCAAACCCCTGGTGTTATGGAGGCCGTACTCACGTCTTCGTTTTCCGTAGGCGGTGAGCTATCGCTTTGCCCAGCTGACGGATGTGCACATCGAGCCGTTCTATAATCCAGAGACCCTCGTCGTCCGAAGACCGACCGAGCCGATCGGTTGAGCCATTCTGCTGGTGTTTGGCTTAGTCAATCCATCTGGAAGGGTCTTTGCATCTCCTTCCCCCCAAGCTCGATGGAGTCATAGCCAGAAGGCAGAAAGTCAATCACCTGTTGGGGTGAGGTTCAGGAACTAAACTTCTTTGCCTTGGAGACTATACTTAAAAGGACATCCAAACTGGAATACTGATGTCTTCATAGGATTTCTCATGATCTCATACTCACTTGAGCGCCGAGTCCCCCATGTGAGCTCTATGTACGTGCTAGTAGCATTCTGCAACACACACTGCCCTTGCGCTGGGAGCCCAGTGGTTTCAAGGAGTCGCAGTGATCAAACTGAACTCACCACACGTTCAACGCGCGGCGCCGCGGAAGCTTCCTGCGCCTCCTCTGAGGAATGGCCATTTGAAGGGTGATGTGTGCCGAGTTGCTGAGGCTTTCAACAAGTCAACTTGCCACTCAGTGGCAAAACTCGAGGGAGATGAGGTGGGGGGTGTGGATGAAAGGATGGAAGAGGAAGAGCTCCAGGAAACGGATGAAACGGCCTACCCTGAGAGTCCAGTCATGACTCATGAACTCCCCCGAACTGGTAGTGGTGGATTGTGACCACCAGGTGGAGTACAATGATATATTATATATAAGTCCTGTAATAGAAACATACAGTAATGCGCTTAAATGCAGTTCGGTTGGAAGTTCTGGGCTATATATACTGCATGTTTGTATCGCCCAGACTGTATTATATGAATTGTTCGGTTGGGCGATGATGATGATGATGATGATGATGATGATGACGATGATGATGATGATGATGATGATGTTGGGCAGTAGAGAGTGGATGTGTCTCAAACGGGGTAAAAAGAAGTCTTCGGATTGAAGGAGTCTCAAAAGGATCCCAAAAAGACGACAGGGTCTTTTTTCCTGAAACAAACTAGTGGAGAAATGGATGCGTGTGCTTCTTCACTGACTCTATATACCATATGGCTCTATAGGTCATGGCAGTGGGGGAAGCTGGGTGGACCACGGAACATGAACAGACAACAGACTGGGTCGGTGAACATATCAGGGTGAGTGAGTGAAAGGGGCTCCAGGTTTTCATGGCGATACAGTATACCATGGGTCACAAATCCACAGATGTTCGAGTCACTCCGTGGCCTCGTTCCGTGTCCCACCGACCCTACGGCCCACCGTGTAGACACCCACTCTTCGGATTTCTTCGGTGTCCTGGACGCGGACGTGAAGGAGGAAGAACACCTCCTTGGAACGAAGACCGCTGTC